ATGCACTCAAAAGCCCGATTAGGCTTATTATCCAGGGAGGTCTTATTTTCAGGGAAACAGGGTAATTACCAGCTACAGTGGTAGAAAATCCAGAAACAAAGATTTCTACTGGAGCAACACTCCTGTGACTTGTATCATCTTAGGGTTGTCAAACTCGCAGCCCATGGGGCAGATGCGTCATGTGCTGGCCACACCCACACTCAGTTTAGCAAAGGGGGGGAGTCATGATACGTCATGTGATAACACCGTGATGACACAAGTTTGACACCTCTGATCTAAGAGATAAGAACATCATACTTTTTAATATTCAGAAAGTTAAAGACCTGGTTGTTTAAGTAGGCTTTCAGGTTCTGAATAATTAATGAATTGTGTTATCTAAGGATGTGTAATGAGTGTTATTGATAACTGATAGATTGAATTTATATTTCTAGCTCACCACAATCAAAATTATAGTATTTTACAGTCTACATACTTATTGCTATCAATGATGTTGAATCTGTATTCAACATCTACTTCTCTAAGATAGAAGTAGAGATAAAAAGGTACATAACGTATCTTTTGTAAAACATTTAGATCTGCTTGATTGAAGGAGCATAAAAACTGTAGCAATAAATCAGAATCACGGTAAGGACAAATTTTCTGGCAGCTGTGCAAACAATTTTTTGGCAAACTTTGCTACAAAATTGTTGGCAAGGTATTTCTTCTTAGCATATAACCTCAATATCCTTCAAAGAGATCATGCCTTCTCTCTTCTTCTACATAACCCTGGGTTAGACATCTGACCTCCAAGAACTGATTGATTGATCAATTAAATAATTGACTGCCATCAAGTTGTTTTTAACTCAATGAAAACAGAGAAAATTATCTTCAACCATTAATTCTTTTTGCTATTCTTTGCCATGGGCTTCCATAGTCATGCCTGGATATCCTTTTTAAATCTCAGCTTAACAAAACAAAGATATTTCAGTCTCACGAAAAAATACAATTCTATTAATTTGCAGTGTATTGCCCTAGTTGTAGAATGGATGACTTTCTGACTGTGCAGTGCACCATCTGACCTGCCAGCACTTACATGCCAAGGAAGACATATGCACAATTCAAAGCATGGAGAGAAGAGGGAGAAGGGGATATATCCATCTCATTACAAAGAGGAAATAAATATAGGTGAAACAGTAGCAATTTCAAGTATTTAGGGAAATTCATTTCTAAATACATGTTTACAACGCTGTTCATATTTTATGAGACTTCCTGGAGCCATCCACAAATAGTATTAGAGCAGAAGAAGCAATGTTCTAAGAGGAAGACTTTGGCCTTTGAAGAAAGAAACTAGGCTTTGTATTTTGAGAAACAGGGACCTTTGTTCTTCCTAGGGGCAGAACAGCTGATAAAAGGGACAATACATCATAAATGGGGCACTGACATTAAAGATGCCAGGTGCCTGCACTGCTACAATATTTTTTTTTTAATGAGCAAACCTGATGTGCAATTTTGAAATGGTAAAAACATATTTCAGAATTAAATTACAAATATTTGTTAGATGTCTCACACCATTATGAAGAGGAGGACAGTTCCTTTGAACTAAAATCCCAGAAAATTACACTTTGGGCCAGAGGGACTTCCCATCTGAGAATTAACTTTTAAAGATTGTACTGAGGGGCTTCATCTCTGAAAGGTGATGTTAGCAATTCAAAGTAACAAAAATTAGCTATTGCTTCCCAAAAGGCGAACTGGAGAAAATGCAAAATCCAAACCAAGTCATTGAAACTGTTCCTCAATAAACCAAAAGTGACAGACGGTTTTGGGTAATAATAGCCAGTTTTTCCACTGCACACAATTATTAAATCACCTTCTGTAAGAGAAGTGATGACAGAACTTGGGGATGGGGTTAAAGAGGAATTAGCTTAGAATCTCTACGTCGACACAAGGGAACTATGTCCAACCCTCCTTGAGCGATGTTGACCCTTATCTAAGAAGGTATCAACAGTTGGTTGAGAAGATTTCTGTACCTGAGCTTTTAGCAATTAATGAATCTGACCACTTCCTTATGGAATCCACCTATAACTTTCATATTCAACATTGCTTCTTTGTACAGTGGTACCTTGGTACTCAACTGCTTTGAAACTTATCAAATTAGGTACTCAATGCATTTTTACATGAAAATTTTGTGCTGGTACTCATCGTTTGTTTGGTACTCAAAGCACAAGCTAGAACCTGTCCATGTCAGCTGCCTTCTGACTCACATCATTTGTTATAGGAAAAATTCATCATTTTTGGTACGCACCTCATCATGCTTCCCAGAACCAATTAACAAATACCGAGGTACCACTGTACAGCGAAAAATATAAGCTCTTCCAAGGATCAACCTTAACCAGTATAAATTTCTTCATTCCTCTCTGCAGCATATCTCTCATTTCCATACAAATACGATACACTCCTCACAAATTATTCTTTTATTCAATAGATTTTTCTCTTACCACAGTTGCAGCTTATCCCACTTTCCAGTAATATCATACATTTGCCAAGGTTATGCTAGCCAAGAGAACATGGTAGAAAGATGCCAGATCTGTTAAACAAAATAATGCCCATGACCGTGACTGGGAGAAAATTCTCATGGTTTCACAAGAAACCTTTCATAGCTTCATGCTGTTTAGCTTTTTTTTTTAAGTAGAAACATCATAGATTGAAACTGGGATCTTCTGTATGTACAGCATGACTTTCATGAATATCGTCCTTACCAGAACCAGCTGGCTACACTTCCTCATATGTGATCTATACCAAATTTATCTAATGTAGATTTTGAAAATCAATAACAAGCCATTTTATAAAATAATCAGAGGTTTAAGCTAAGGTGCTCAGATGACAATAAGTGTCTCAATTCAACAGGCACATATCATCCATGGCCAATACTTTTTTTTAAAAAAAAGATCCTAAACAGCTTTCCCGCCAGTCAAATGTTAAGGAAAGAACAGTTTTATCAGAAGCACCGTAAAACCAATCCTAAACTGTCCAGTACCTCAGTAAATGGAAAATTTCCACCACCTATTACAAAATTGGAGATACAACCCAAAGCTGTGAAGGCCACACTATCATCACCCAAAGTTAATGCATAAATTAAATTTCAGAATTAAACAGCCGAGATATTGTTGTCACTCGATCCCACCAGGCTGCCACAAGACAGAGAATGGTCCCTTTCTTCAATTAGATTCAACCTTCTCAGGATCTCCAAAACTTTTTATCATTTGGAAGAGACTTCCTTCTCAGGGAAACCACTGTTACTATAGCAGAGTCCAACATTTGCAGTTACCTGCTAGACTCAACCTATATGAACTTGACAATCATCTTCTGATTTTGAGGCAGCTCCCACAGTCAGAAGCCCTGGCGCTTGGTGGGCACCCAAATCACCTGCCTTTTCAGGCACCCATGAATTAGCACCAACAAGACGAGAAGCTGATGGCAGTCCTGCTGGTGAGTGGGAATGGTTCTGGATGCACAGTTCTCCCATAGCACCAGCAGTGTGATGTGGTGTGGGAATCTGAAAGCATGGTGATCCAGGTGCTGGAATTTGTGCGTTAGGATGCTGCATGTGCATGGCAAGCAACGGAGGAGGGGGGCTGTGATAGTTCTGAGTGGGATAAGAACCTGGCACTGGATTTAACCTGAAAAAGACCAAAGAGAGATGTGTTAACAGATTAAATGCATGAGGAACACATGCAAAATGACACACTCAACCAATTATTATTAGGAAGGCAGACGTTACACAGGTCCCATGGGAATTATATCTTTTTATTTGTTGTTATCCCATCTTTTAATAAATAATTAAAGATGGCAAACATATCTAATAATCCTACCTCCTATTTTCCCACCAACAATCCTCCGAGATTAATTTCAGAAATTTCAGCCTTTCTAATATGTAAAGAACAAATGATGCATTAACCAGGCTACTCTTTGTTCCTATTCTGGGAACAAATTGAGAAGTGAATACTCATCTGGACCTGGAGACCTGAGGAAAGCATATCTACTTTCTTTATCCTCCAGGGAGAAGGGAAATCATCAACTGCTCTTTACAGAAGAAAGCTATCAAAATCAACCTTACCACTTAAGTGCCAATTTATGGCTTACGTGATTCCTGTAGTTGAAGATTTACCCTCCTTCTTTGCCCCTAATAATATTTATTAACAGATATTAATAAATTAACGACATGAAAGAAGCAGCAGGGAATAAGCCTTCATGATAAAGGCACAGGCATAAATCAAGCTTGCTATTCAAAATAATACATCCTTGTAATCTTTGTAAGTAATTCTACATTCCTCTTGTGTATTTTCACTTATGCTATATAAAGCAATCATCCTAAACTAAAAGACTTATAGTTGACCTTTATTTTTTATTTTATTATTATTTATAGGAGCCGAGGTGGCGCAGTGGTTAGGGTGCAGTACTGCAGGCCACTTCAGCTGACTGTTATCTGCAGTTCAGCGGTTCAAATCTCACCGGCTCAAGTTGACTCAGCCTTCCATCCTTCCGAGGTAGGTAAA